TGAAATCCTGGTGATACCAACGATTGCCGCAGAAATCTAGAGAGGAATACGTCATCGCCTATAGCAACGTCATCACACCCTATTACACAGCCCCTTGATTTTGCTGGTTACAAAGAAAAAACGGTTGTATAAATGTAACTTTAAACGCCTTGCTCATAACTGGTGATTACTTGAAATGGGTAAGTAACAAATTGTTGTTTTTTTTTAAAAAAAAAAATTACTATGCCTTAAGCAACTATCGACAATTTTAACACGTTTGTTATCAATGTTTTATTTGTAATACAGTCTGTGACAATATTCTTATTCTTGGCAACCTTTGGGAACACTCACCTGGTGTCTTCATCGATTGTAACTTAATATATTATTGGAAACAAAAAGCAACAATAAATTCTGATAGTAATAGATCCAAAACAATTAAGAAATCACCCCCCAACTCTAACAATGTTAAACATCTTTTTTTACCAAAAGCCATACTCTGTAATTATGTAATGTGACCAATGATGAGCCATTTAATATTAGCAACTTACCACCAAAGTTTTAATATAGTTGACGTTGTGTCATATGCAGTTAAAATCTTGCCTAGTTTGGACGTATTTGTAATTTTTTTACAATGTATGAATAACCCTGTAGAATTCTAATACTTGTGTTAACCGTATACCTTATCTGTCACCAAATTTAAAATAAAAAAAAAGCCTGTCGAAATACAATTAATCTCCAAAATGAAAAGAGTATAAAACTGAAGTTCGAAAACAATGCGAAGAGTGCAAGGCTGCAGCCAAACATGTAATTTACGTATTTTTTATTCTTCTGGTGTCCATTTCCGGTTGAAAACTGTATTTTATTGCTCATATTATAAAAACCAATAATCTCTACTCTTAATTAATTACAATGGTTAAAGTTCAACCAATGTACACAATGAAACTCGCCAAGTCGGCCGCGAAAAATGGTTATTACCGTTACCATTACCATTGCTATCAGCTATTGTTTAAATAAATGCCATATTGATTTGTTTAACAAATTAATTTGTGAATAGCGATGCATTATAATTACAGAACGTCTTTTCTAAATAATTATCAATGTTAAAGAGATATAAACAATTTGTTTACAAAAACGTCTTATAAATTATCAGATAAAATGCGAGGTATAAATATTTTCTTTAAATTACAGAAACGAGCCTTCTCTAAATGAAATAGCGCATGATCGGTAAGTAACATGACATAATAACATATGCGAGATTGTCCAATAACATTTGGTTAACTTCATTATGTTTTTTGTGTCTACGAAAAACAGTAAAAATCCTCTGTAGCTCTTTGTATACTCGTAAACCCGAGGGTTATTTACGTGAAAAAAGACTTGAGTCAAATCTGACTAATTTCACAGTGTATTTTGATATCTCCTAACATGACTATGAATATTACAAACGGTTACCTGATACTGTAATATCAAAGGGTAGCCAAACTCTTTTAACTGATACTCATATTATACCCTTTAAACGAAACTCTGTTATAATTATACAACTTACTGCAGATAATCATATCCCGGTTCATATTCTGAATATAAATTGATTTTACGTAAATAAATTCTGATAAGATTCGTCACACAAACCAACTCGATTGTGTCTTGTCAGTATGTTTTCAAAAATATTTTGCTTTCCTCCCACCCTATTCCTAAATTAACATCCAACAACGAAAGAATACGAATATTAATACAAACTCTCTTATACTTACGCAACCTCGAGTAAATTAATCCAACACAATCACTTTTCATATTAACTAATTCCCCGTATTCTAGTGCTATGTATTGCCTTTACCGATAAAGATGAATCTACAATTGAACAGATTCAACTTATAAAGACGTCTTTCGTAATGTCACCCATATTGATAATAGCTCTTTACTTACCAATCTTCCTATGGGTAATTAATTCTAATGTTACGAAATCAATATTTACATGTAAACCGTAATGTGAGCGATACTATTTGATATACCTAAAATTTCCTTTGTACAAATTTGATATTCTATAATAATAACGTTAGAAGTGTAGAATCGCATAAACTTATTAGTTATGTAAACGGTTCTCGTTCACACTATTTATTTACTTGCACACATTTGAAAGATATGTCGATATATACACAGGCTCCCTGAAGAATACTTAGCCTTCGAACATGCTGGTAATCAGCATTTTTACATTCGCAGATTCGTCGTGCTGTCTCTGTGTCATTATCTGCATAACTTTCATTCAAACAAGAGAAACAAAGGCCCTTCATCAATATCACTGACCATTTTCAACGTGAATTCGTCCAAACAAAGATGCGAGATTTTTTTCCGACAGCGTTTTTTCGAAATTTGAGCCTCGTTTCAAGTATCGCTCAAGACTATACTTTTCATTCCTTCGGTGTAAAGTACAGTGCTCTTTGGTAGTCAATGCTATTGTTCATCGGCGGAATCGAAACGCCCTTTCCTCTTTGTTGAGCATTAATATTAACTGTACTGTCAAAGTCGTACACAATGTGGCTAATTGCTAAACTTTCGTGTAACTAATACTGCGGTACGGATCAAGTGCGAGAAACAAAGGTGACAAACGATTATTATTATGTCATCCAGCTGAAAAGAAGATAACAATAATAATGATACCTGCCGTGCTTAATGCGTCAGTATAATGATGACATAATCATATTTACTGAAACCTACCCCTTATTTTGATTTGTCAATTGTCGCTTTTATCAGATTCTATCTAAAATGATAGAATTTCATTCAAAAAAAAATGCTTTGTTGATAAAACGTCTCAAATGAGGCTGGTTACAAAGTTGGTTTTTTACACACATCATTGCAAACATTTTTTCACTTCGAAACAATCTGACTGTATACACATTAATCCGCGATGCATACAGAAATCTTCATTTCCAAATTAGGTTAGTCTTTTCATGTATTACGGGTATTGGTAGCGGTTAAATGTTTATTATTTAGCCACTTCCTCGAAAATGGAAACTTTTGATCATACGTGGTAACCAATATCTGTCACTGACAACGTTTTTGCATTTCTAATCAAGAGTTGCAGCTCAGTGTGGTCCATGAAAGTGAATTCTAGAAACTGGTTTTTTTTCGGTCGACAAACGCATGTGGAATTAGCATAACGGGCAACCATTGTCTTAACAAAGAGATTTTGGTTTAATAAAAAGATATCAACATTTCCGGGTTATGTAAACAATTCATCAACGTGTTGACACGATTGTTCAAAATTACTCCGCTACGCCTGGTACTGTACGTTAATATGTTATTGCTATAGTTGTAACTACAAAGAAAATATGCTTATATAAATGCAATTGAGATGCCTCGCTCACAACCAACATCGTTACAAAACGGTTCTATACTTTTACTTTATTTCCCAAGCACGCCCAAATATTTTTTCGACCGGCTTTTTTTTTCCCCAACTGCACGACAAAATGAACCGTTACGTTTGTTCCTTGCTCATCCTGGGTCTTTTGATTTTTATCGCCTCTGGTGTCTACGCTGACTGTAGTGTTTCTGCAAATTGTGGCTGTCCGGATACACTTTCCTGTGAATGCCCTTCGACGAGTACTGGTGGTCTATTTTGTGGGTTTGAAATGAGTAAGTGACAAAATATGTCTATTTAAACAAATCTTTGGTATAGCTCTGTTAAATTCTTGCTTTCAATGTCTTATTTAATTATACAGAATGTAATGGAACCCGTGGACCTCAACTTGGCATGAACGACATTTGGCAATGCTCACCTGGTGGTAACCTCAATTGTCGTTTCGGCCCTTGCGCTATTGGATGCTGTGCGGTAGAGGGTCAAAGTAGCTTTTGTTGCAAGGAACCTAATTGTGCTGATTGCCCTTATATATTTTCCCTCCAGTAAAAAAAAAGTTTACTTTCTTAATGTCATATTCCACTATTAGAACAATGTTTATTTGTATACAGTGACTTTGGTCAACCCTACTTTTATTTTTTATCGTGCTATCATTATCTTTTATCTTAAAAGCATATATAGTTAATGTCAATAAAATTCATACTGATGTATTATTCTCTTCTTTGTGCATGTCTAAAACGCTAATGTCTTTTAACCCCGCAAATTGTGCTTATAATTATTCTATTAGAAAGCAGCGAACAAAACAATCTGTGTCGTCCATTTTGAAGCATACAGTATACTATCGCAAAAGCACGGTTTCCCACACTCTCAAGAGCTACGAATATTACGACAAAGACAAAACGTTTGTTGGGAAGACATCGGCTCTGTTATACTTAAGTTAACGTTTTCTATAATGAACGATGCGCATACTACGTGGGGGGGGCTGAAAAGTTTTGTCGCCGATTCTTTATTCTGATAAATTTAAATACGATTATTCAAAAAAACGATTTGATTTTCTCAAAGTAGTCTCCATTAACATCTGTGCAATGTTTCAAATAGTACTGTCAACTCTTAGAAAGACTTCCCATAGTCAGCTTTTGGGATGGTGTCAACAACTGGCTAAACAGCCCTTGCCAAATTTTCAACATTATCAAACCTTTTTTTCTTCAGTTCTTTCGTAGTTTGAAGGAATATGCAAAAATGACAAGAAGAATGATCAAACCCATATGGAAAATTAGGAAGGAGTGTTACCTGTTACCTTTGAAGATATTCAGTTATGATTACGCTGATTAATTTGGCGCAGTGTGCCATAGCGAAGCATGACATCTGAACAAATTTTTTCCAGAGTGTTCGAAAATACTCCTGATAGTATACAATTTGTATAAAACTTTCACAGGAAGTACCCACCTGACTAACCATTTCTGTGGTAATAAAATGAGGGTCAGTGTTTATGA